GGTTCAGGGGATCTCGTAGTCGAGCAGTCTCGACTAGAGCTTTCTTTCTTGTTAATTAATGTTTTTTTCTAATTATTCCAATTAATCTTCATTTATCGTGTCTGTAAAGCGAATAATCTAAGAAATTAGTTCCACATATATTTTTTTGCAGATTCGGATTTTTCCATTATTGCAATTTCTAAAATTCTCAATATCATAATATACTTCCTTTAATTCTGCCTGTCTGTCTGCCCACCTTATAATATTTGTAAGTTAGGAATAGCAAATATTCAACTTAACATGTTTATAACATGTTTTTCTTGTAAATATTCAATAACTAATTTTCATATCCAGGAAGCTCTTAATATTATATTCGCATTTAGTTAGTTAATATACATTATCTTGAAGTTGTGTGAGTGTCTGCTGGCTAGTTGCCTTGAAATATAAGCAAAAATAGTTCTTCTTAGCAATGAATGGAACGAATATAATTTTTCCATTGAGTATATATTTTTAAAATAGAAAAGAGAAATGTTTGAGAATCTTTTAGTCGATACTATTGTTATTGTAACAACAAAAACGACGTGAATTATGCATATTTTATTTTAATTTTGAACAATTAAAATAAGCCCCATTTAATGCGCCGTAATGTCCGCCGTGGACAGCATGCGAACAGCAAATCTCGTCGTAAGCTGCACTTGGAAAATGACTGAAAAGTCAACATGATACGATCTGCGATACGGGCTTAGAGATACACAGATACAAAGCGATGCAGATACAAAGATACACCTGACTACAAAATCAGTCAGAATGGAGGAGTGTGCGAGTATGTGTGAGTGTGTGTGAATCTGTGGTATTTCCGTCATTTAAGCAGCGGCTTAAAGTGTTTCTTCATTAGAATAACTGTCATAAAAATAAACGCATAAAATTTCAAAAATACTCACCGTAAGCGGATCTAATCATTTTCCCATAAAGAGACGCAGCTGCTCAAGCAAAATCTGCTTAAATTTCACCTGAAGCGCTAATTTGGCCAATAAACACAGCAAAAATGCTCAAAAATAATAATAATAAACCCAATACAAATAACAATAAGCAACAAAGATTCGATGGAAGCCATCAAACGTGCGAAGCGAAGGCGCCATTGAGCCCCCGTGTTGGATTAGTGTGACAAAAGCAGTGCCAAAGTCAACAAACGATAAAAAATGGAATACCGAAGAAAAAGTTAACTATAACAACAAATTTAAATAAACAGACAGTAATAAAAGAACACCTATTCCGATCGAACTATAACCAATGCGAATACAGTGAGCCGAGATCTTCGTCATGTCGAATTCTTTATTCCCTTTCTAATGGAAGAGATATGAAAAGCATATACATAGCAGAAGACCTGCCTGTTTTCGATCTTGTGTTAAAATATCCTTTAAAAGATGGATACAATGAGATATTTTATGAAGTGAAATTCTATAGTGAGTATAAAATTGATCATATCATCATATCAGAACTAAATGTAAAGGAGGCGAATGCTCTGACACCTTGCAGATTGTTTTGATTAATTCATGATCGAATAGTAATATCTAGTACAAGCGGATGCAATCGTGACATTAAACAAACATGAAACTATATTCCACATTAATAACGAAGGTCGTAAAACATCATTTCTATAAGAATAAAATTGTTGTTAGGGTATCTCATATTTAGACACTGAGCCACCTTCTAAAGAGCTCTCTATTTTCACGTTTCGTGCACGATTCATATATTATAAAAATCTGATTAACAGTGATATATGTGGATACCGTCAAGTCGCGTTATGCAAAGCGATTGTATTTGGGTTATTCTGGAACTGCTGGGCATATATTATGGCTAATTGGAGGAGGGGCTTGAGGTTGGCTGCAAGTTCGTAAATGTTTGAAATAGAACCGAGCTCTTAGTGTGAGCGAAAATTGGGAAATCTTCTGGACTGATCAATCGATCAGGTTGCGCAATCTGCCTCTGGACAGCATCGGCGACAATTGATTTGTGTATTTCAATTGATTGCTTAACGTATTTATTTATTTATATATTTTGTTAAGCAAATTCATAAATTATTACTCTTGGCGCATAATAAAATTTCATTAGCGAACGTCGCCGACGGCGCGTTGGCGTTGTGTTTGAGACGCGAGCAGACGGCGCCAGGTTCGTAACGTTGTTGTTGCTGTGGGGACTTTGCGCCTCCGCCTCGCTTTTTGGCCTTTGTTTTGGATAGATCTGTCAACTGTTGCTTGGTGGTGTGTGCAGACAGGGGTGGGGAGCGGGGCTGGATAAATCTGAACAACAACGGCAACGGCATCTATTTTGATGGTTTGGATTTGATTCGATTGGATTTGATCGGCCTGGCCACTCGTCGCACTTGCGCTCGATTTGCATATCGTTGACTGAAAAAAAAAGCTTAAGCATTCACACACACACACATGTACACGCACACGCACAATTTTGTTTCTCTCGTTGGGTAATTAATTTTGGACAAGCCATAAATCTTGTATACTTTGCATATATTATTATTAATATTACATATTTCTCTATGAGTTATCCGGCGTGTCAACATTCCAGCAAATCGTACGTATCAAGAGTTTTCCCTCGCTCCACAACTCGAACGCCTACGCGATCCGAGCTCGTGGCCTCTTCGCTTTTTTTGCTTCTTTGTTTTCTTTATGACAGCCGCTCGGATTGAGGTCATAGATGGAGATAAACTCATTGTCACATTGTTGGAGATTCTTATCAATTGTTACACGATTTTCGTATTATGCTCATGGGCTGCCCATTTGTGAAACGAAATTCTATGGGACGCTCTTTACTTTTGCCAGATGACCCCGCACCTCGGATGTGATCTAATGTCAGCTTAAAAGTAGCAAAATAAATCAACGAAATTTTTGTTTAAAACGGACAAGTTTTCTTCTTTACGGCAGTTTCTGGTAAAGTAATTTACGGATCGCAGATATATGCAGATCTCGAGTATTTAAGCTCAAGTAGAATAAATAGAACGATGTGTCTGCATTGAAGTCATCGAATTAGGAAAGCGATATACTAATATCTAATAGAATATACTACTTATCTAATAGAATAAATAAAAATCAATATAAATTACTTAATTTAAAGTAAAAGAAGATGGATACTATAAAAGAGATATATAAAGATTTTTGAATCAAATCGAATGGAACATGCTCTGTCGTCTGCCTAATGGCTTTCGAAGTTTAATATTGCTTCAAATTGTGTATGTTTTAAATATTTAGTCAATTGAATTCGGCTGTTATATCATCGTCTAGAGCCACCAACTATGGTATGTTAATTCTTTTTAATTATAAATAATATATAGAATATCTTAAACTTTGGAATGTAAATTGTCTTCGAGTATCATAGTATACACGGCTATTTTAAATTTGGGCATGTGAATTCTCCTGGAGTTTTAATTATATTTACAGAAATATTTTGATCTATCGTATGTGAACTCTCTTCAAGTATAAAAAAAGATATAGAACTTTCTTTAACTTTTGTTTGGGATATCTTGCTTTGGAGTTCGAACTCTCATTTGTAAATAAGATATAGTATTATATTGTAGAGTATAGGAATATCTTGAGCTTAGCTATGTGAATTCTCCTTGAGTGTAAGTAAGGTATAGAGTAATGGACTAACGCAATATATCGAAGGAGGTACATATACTCACTTTTTACTCTTTGGAAGTCGCATTCTCCTCTACGAATTCCAATTTTCAAATCTTCGCTTGTGCCAATTAGATTTGATTTCCTGTCAAGGAAAACTGCCTAGCCCGTGTAAATGAATACTGCAGGTTTGTATTGTACTACATGTGTTTCATATTTATTTTGAATTCGTATCGTTTCATCGTCATTCGCAAATTGCTCATTATAATTACTATTATGGTTATCATTGGGCTGCAGCGCCGCATTGTTATCATTGCGACTATCGTCAACAACATTAATATTAGCATCATCATAATTAATATTAGGTTGTTGCTGTTGCTGCTGCTGCTGTGCCTCTTCCTGTTGCTGCTGCTGCAATTCTAGAGCCATAAAGTAGTTCTCTGCTTTCGGGCTGCCATTGCTGTTGCTGTTGCTGTTGCTGTTGCTGTCGTTGTTGCTATGGCTATCGGCGCATATAGTATGCTCAACAATATGATTGCGATTGGGCGCAACAACATTTGTTGCTGCAACAGTTGGTGCAGCTGCGCTGCTGCCTCTGCTGCCGTTGCTATCAATTCGATCATTTATCAACTGCTTAAGATTATTGTCAATGGTATCATTGAATTTGAATTGAAGAACGCCTCCCTCACTACGGCTATGGCTATGGCTATGGCTATGGCTATGGCTATGGCTATGTCTATGGCTATGGCTATGGCTACGGCTACGGCTATGGCTATTGCTATGGCTATTTGGACTATAGAACTTAGTGCTAATTTCTAAACTACTAGAATCAGTCGTGCTACTTTTAGTATTCATATTATAATGCTCGTTACTGTACAAGTAGTTGTAGTTTTTTGGCAAGGCAGGTATTGCATTATTAACATTAGGGCTATTACTATTTAAATTTAGTTCTACGTTTAGTTTATGTTTCAGTATTAAGTTTAAATTACTATTAATATAGGCTTTTGAGTATTCATTTTGTTGTTGTTGCTGTTGCTCCTGCACACCCTGTGTCTGCTGCAGCTTTATTTCCTGCTGCTGCTGCTGCTGCTGCTGTTGGGAAGACGTCTCCACCAGCTGCATGTCCATGTCTGCCGCATTGTTGCCAGCGCTAGCCGCTGCTGCTGCTGCTGCGCGTTTTCGGCGTCCGCGCTTACGCCGACTCGCCGCCAGCATGGCGAACAGGTTGAGCGCCGAGGGCGCCAGCGAAGCCGTCGCTGTCAGCGCTGTTGAGGCCGCAGTCGCTGTGTAGGAGGAGGATGAGGAGGACGAGGCCGTGGGCGAGGGCAACTGTTGCTTACGTTGCTCACGCTGCTCACGTTGTTCACGCTGCTGCTGCTGCACGAGCTGCTGCTGCTGCTGCCGTCGCTGCATGCGCCGGCGTCGTCGACGCTCCAGCAACGTCGCATTGTTGTGATGATGACGCACCATCAGGTTCTTCGGCTGTGGCTTGACCATGGCACCGACGGCTTTGTGTTGCTGTCGCTGCCGCTGTCGTTGCCTGTGCATCTGCTGCTGGTGCTGGCGATGCTGCAGACGTCGCTGGTGTTGCTGGTTGCGTTTGATGATCTTCTGCTCGCGCAGCGCATCCTCGTTTGCTTTCTTGTTGTTATGGGACTTACGACTATGGTTGTTGTTGTAATTACTATTGGTGTTGTTGTTGTTGTTGTTGTGGTTAAAAGAACTACCGCTATTAATACTTGTGTTTGCTGTTGTTGTTGTTGCTGGCTGCATGCGATGCAGTGGCTTGCCACGTGCGCGTTTTGTTGCAGCCACTGGTCTCGGCGTTGTTGTTGTTGTTGTAGTTGTAGTTGTTGTTGTCGTCGTCGTTGTTGTTGTGGACGTTGTTGATATTGCTGTCGTTGACACCTTGCTTCGCCAATTGGCCAGCTTACTGTGGAAATCTTCCGCCTTCACGCGATTAAAGAGGAAACGGGCACGTCGATTGTAACTCTGCATCCCCTTAGGCCCAATCGGACGAAAGTTCGATTTGATGCCCACGCGCAGCACCGGGTTGTAGGCATTCGTGTACTGATAATATCCTCGTTCCATTGACTCTCTGAAGTGGCAATCGTTTGTGGCGTTTCTCTAAGGGGAGGCAATTAAAGAATGAAGAAGAAGAAAGTTACAAATGAAGCCAAGAAAGTGGGCAGCATAAAAGAACAAATTTTCTGCTAGATCAATAAATATATCATAAAGTACTCTCCATTTTTTTTTGCAGAATATGTATCATGATTTTATATCTAAAATTATTTTTATAATATATCTTTTAATCCATAAAATACTTTAACAAATGAATACATTAACAAATGAAAATCCCTTTGCTTACCTTTCCAACAAGTTTGCCTTGGGCAAAGCATAAATAGTAGTCCACATCCTTGGCATATATTGTGATTTTGAAATCCTCGCTGAGTACATCGCCAACACTGTTCATTGTTAGGGATTCTGCAATGGATATTATCGAGAGAAGGAAATCAAATTTAATTAATTATAAACAAAGTTTTTCTTTTCATACTGCTGCTTAAGTAAATATTTAATGCTAGTTGAGCCAACTTATTTGACTGGAAAGAGCGTGTGGGGGTTGGGGACTGCACACACACACACACACACACACACACACACTTCACTGGCCAGATAACCCCATTAATTGAAAGGTTTTCGATAAAGTTATGAAAGGTTTGATTAGGCTGGCAGGGGGCAGAGGGCAGCGGCGCTACTAACGATAGAAACAAGAATCAAGCATTTAATGAAATTAAGGGAGCGTAGTTTTACAGCAGCTCTCTGCCTGCACAGCAAAGAGTCGAAGCTCTGCGCCCCGACTTCACTCCATTCTCAATCGTATCAGCAAGGTGCGTGTCAGTCAATTACCTTACTGAACTGAGCTCTTATCAAGCTGCGCCAATCATGAGGCCCACGATAATTTGTGAGAGCCTCGTTGAGTGGGCCAGAAGTGTTCTCCCTATGGCCGTGGATTTGGGTTTGGTTTTGGCAGATGGATAACCCTGAAAGCCATTCAGCATCTATCTTCAGACATCGATTGAGTCGTACCTTCTCTCTAGCAATGCATCAGAGTAGTAAGCATAAAGCGATCAATTTAGCTAGGCTCTGCCCGTTTAAGTCCAAGCATTCCCTTCGAATCAACCGAAGAACCAGAACAACAACAGCAATGCGCAGCACTTGCTCCTACAATTCCATATGAGATAAGATAAAATACCAAACTGACATTTTTCGTTTAATTTATAAGGAGACTGACGCCCAAGCAGCTCTAGAGTGTATGTATCTCACTCTCACTTGCTCACTCTCCCCCTCCCTCTCGCTCTATTGTTTGACCAGCTACTCTGGCGAATTTCACGTGCGAAGAATTCTAGACTATTATTTATGCGATTTGAACTTTGTACTGCTCAAGTGGCCAGCGATTGCTGAGGTGCGTGACGCAATCTAAAGAAATTTCACAATGCTCGTCGAAAGCGGTCAAAATCGATATGATTTGTACGAATTGTTCGGTTACTACATCTGCATATGTATACATATATGTTCATATAACCCACACCAGATCATGAAATGAGTTTTTGGTTTGTATAGATCTAAATCTATGTCTGAGTAGACTCCTCCTCTCTTCCTTGATCTGCGTGTTGCTATAAACATGTCTGGACTACATATATGTATGCCGATTATATATTAGATATTTTCATTCTGATACATCTCAATGTTTCATCAGGAATAGTTGAATCTGCTATACTATATAAGTCGTTAACTTCTCACGCTTATTGCTTGGGGCTGTCGCTATAGCGTATATATCAACCCATTTGTGAATGCGGAGCGCTGCTCACTCTGAACTTCACCCACTGAGGCGGCCTGATCGACGGGCAAATAAAAAACCAACTAGAAGAAAATTAGTGGGTGGAAGGGCGGTGGCTCGAGAGGTAGAAGAACCGCATGAATTCAAATAAATTGTAAGAAGAAGAGCAGACAATGGAGAAGAAAGAGCAGAAGGCGGCGGCTGTCTTGAAACCGCAATCGTAGCGCCCATGGCGGACCACATAACATCAATCAAATATTAAATTACCAATAATTTAATTAAGCCCGCAATATGCACAGACAGCGCCAGAGTTCAAAATAAATGCCAATTCAATTTAAACGCCAGTCGAGCAGCTCTCGCTATACAAAGGGAATTGATGGGCGCCGAAACATACCATAAATCATAGATATATATATCATATATATGTTTATCACATGCAGAGAGTGCGAAAATGATATCAGCTATAGCTGTACTTACGTGCTAGCGATATATCCTCGGCCGTTACCCAGCCGTGCGAATTGATATGCAGCGCCCGATTGTTGTCGGTCTTCAGGGTTAGAATGTATTCCGTTTTCTTTGCACATGTTGTAGATACAAGAGCCAGCATTACCTGCAAAGGAAGAGAGTTGCGAATAGAGTATCTGGTATATGGAATATGGTACATGGGCATATGGCAAATATAACAACATAAGCCCCAAAACTGCAACCTTAATCCCGCCCATAAATTTCAATTAAATACGCTCAACTTTTTAATGTGGGGCCCGGCAAGAGCAACTGCACCTGAGTCGGAGCCAGCGACTGTGCACACCTGTGCCACAAAATGCCATTGCCATTAAAGCAGCTCTCGGCAAATTGCCTTTTTTCGCATGGGACATCAGCTAATCCTGCACATTGTAGCCCCAACTCTGCTGAGGGTCGCGACAGAGTGTGTTCGACTCGAAGTTGGAGTGTGGGAGCGACAGCCTCATGGAGTGAAGCCTTTACCCATTCAACAGCTGCTCAACTGCCAATACTCGATATCAATTTGTTATCATTTTATTGCCTTTCATTCTGTCTATTCCTAATTCAGATATATATATAATTACATTACAGTTATACGTAAAACTATATTCTGATATAATTGATGTGCAATCTAATGAGTCATTAGCAAAGCATCTATTGGGATCCTCAAATATGAAGAACTCTGTATACTCATCATGTTCTTCATCTTCATTAAGCTCGTCTGAGATATATATGTAATCATCTGCAGGCTAGCCCAAAGACCAAATTAAATGGCTTATCAGCGGATAGTCGAAAGCAAAAAACAAAGTTACGCATGCGACGCGACGCCCCAATCGAGCATTTAGCTGCTGTTGCCAACTGCCTTGCCTTGGCCGACACGTGTCTGGGCCATGTCTGCCTGGTAGTAACATGCTTCATAAATGTATTTATTTATTTCTTGCACATTGCCCAACTCTCAAAGCATTTGCATAAGCGACTCCTGTGCGAGGGAGGGAGCACGTTGCGAAAAGCTGTTGAGATCGCGATTTGCCGTGGAACCCAAAAAATATGCGTGGTCAGCAAAACAAGCTGACTACAAAATGTATATGTAAAATTGATATGTTCTGGTATCACAAGCCAAAGGGACGGAGGTTGCCACACGGCACTATAGCTCCGGTTGCAAGCAAGTGATGACAGTTATTTTGGTCGAATGGCTAAAAATATGTGCGTGTATCTAAATCGGGGGCTTATTGAAAGACTTAAGCACATAAGTGATTGCTAACAATTAGCGGAAAACAGAAAACAATATGTGAATGCGCAATGCGAAACAAATTGACCCAACTCTAAGAGGCCCCTTTTAAGTCAACGCCCCTGGCAAATGCCACTTGGCACTTGACGGAATTCGTGAACTTTACTTCTCAACTGCTCGTTAGACGTTTCATCATACTTCAAGTTGACACCAAATCAAACACTGTCAGTTTATTTCTTCTGGCCCCTACCCCTTGCTCCACCCTTCTTGGAGGCCTTCTGTTTGTACTACTCGTAAAAAACCAAATTGTTTGGCTGTAGTTTTCGGAGTTTTCAAACTTTTTTGTGCTGGCTGCTTTAATGATGTGCGACCTTTTCCATAGTTCAATGACGTTTCGGCGTGCGTGTGCGAGTGCGTGTGCGAGTGCGTGTGTAATAATAATTATTATTATTATTTTTGTATTTTATTACTATGTTGCTTGGCTCAAGTGGCTATGCAACAGCGCCCTGCCAGACCCTGAGCAGATCCGAGCAGACGTAGCCACTCCAATGTACACACCACGAGCTGACCAGTTCAGATATCAGAGACCCCCACTCCTCTACTGCGCTGACGCTCCTCCATTGACGCCGCCCCCTAGCTCCACACTCCACTTCACTTGATTACACACTCGATCTTGTTATAATAATCAAACGGACGGAAATACTACACACATATTGATATATATATATATATATATATATATATATATATATATATATATATATATA